AAGCTGGATAAATCTGGCCCCCTGGGAGTGAGCGTGTCTGGGCTCCCTTCCCCCTCCCACCGTCCAATGCGATTGGCGATTGTCATGAGTGAGTGGAGGGCGAATGGTCACCAGGGCAGCTCCCACCAGCAGAGGTGGGGTTGGGAGTGGGGTCTGGCCTGGGCGGGAGGTCCGGACAGACAGGCAGCGAGGTGCTGGGTGGTGCTGGCACCTCTGCCACCGTCACCGTCATCACCCTCGCGAGCTGGGGGCCGGCTCCTGCCTGGCTGGTGCGAGGCTGTGGCCGCCGTCACGCCCAGCATGGGCAGGAAGGGTAGGTGTGGGCATTCGTGTGTCTTTTTTTTAATGTTCTTATTGACTTCAGAGAGGGAGGGAGAGGGAGGGAGAGAGAATCACCCACTGGCTGCCTCTGCATGCCCCACACGGGATCACGCCCACAACCCGGGCATGTGCCCTGACTGGGAATCAAAACCTGACCTCCTGGTTCACAGGTCGATGCTCAACCACTGAGCCACGCTGGCCGGGCTGTTTGCGTCTATTTTCAATGGCTTTATTGAGAGAGAGCCGCCAGAGCCTGCAGTCCCCGCGCCTTCGATCGATGGATGCCTGAGTCAGGTGACTGTCCCCTTGATCCATTTCAGAACATTCCCGCGCTGCCCCGGCAACAACCCTGCTCCTGCCCCCTGCCCAACCCACCCGGCCCCGTTGCGACCTCTGCCACCGTGTGGATTCAGGAGGTTCTGAGAACACGGATCACACGTGTGGCCTTGGGTGACCGGCTTCTCTCACTGCGCGGTGCCCTCCGGGCCCATCGCTTGGGGCTGAGTGATTTTCTGTGGGGTGTGCACACGTTCGAGGGCCGTGTCCGCATGGGTGTGGATCACTTCCACCCCACAGGCCACGTCCCCCGAAAGGTCCCACCGGGGCTGGATCCGCCTGCCCTCCGTGGAAGGGTCTTTCCAATCCCCCAAGTCCCCGAAGGATGCGGGGAGGTGGGGTACGTCCTCGACAGTCCCCACTCCCGAGGGTGTCCCGAAGGGCCCATGTCCACACCGGGTCCCTGAGCGCCCACATGGGTCAGGATTGGAGGGGGGCCTGTGCGGCTGCCCTGCGTTCCCCCTACTCCCCGGTGCCCCTCTAAGTCCTGCCCCCCAGGTCCTGCTCCCCTCAGAGGACACTCAGCTCTCACCCTCAGAAATCCTCCAGTGCCCGAGTGGGGTGGCCGGGCTCCTGCCACCAACTCGGGGTCCCTTTGGAGCAGAGAACCCCCCTCTGAGCTGCGCTGGGGCTCCCTCCATGCCAAACAGTGTGCTCTGCCCCTCTGCCGTGTATGGGGGTGACCCACTGCGGGCACACCCCTCCATTCCTGCCAGCTCAGCTCTCTGCTTCCCCCGGGCTCTGGGACGCCTCTGCTTCCCGGGCAAAAGGGGCAGGAGCCTGGTCTCCATCCCAGGACCTCTCTGATTTGCGCTGGCTCAGCCGGAGGCGCTGCACCCCACAGGGCTCAGCAGGATGCCTGTGGGGACAGGAGGGCCCCTGGCCTTGGAGGCGGCCGGCCCAGGACCCTCCCCTTGGGGTCCAGCAGCGACCTGCTCAGCATCTGCGTTCACTCCTCCCGGCTGAGATCACCCGCGGCCCCCAGCCCCCCAAATCACTTCATTATTTCTTTGTAAATAGGGCTTTTCCTAGTCAAAATAATCAGCATTTTTGTGTTGCTCCCACATCTGGCTTTGATTGGCCCCAGCCTCCTGGGGTGGATGCTGCAGCCCTGACGTTATGATGAGGGGAGAGGGGCGCCTGCCTTCCTTCCCGCACAGGCGGCGTGGGGGTGGCGGCCCTGCTCTCCCCTCACAGCTGCGCTCTGCCCGCCCCACTCTGCAGGGCCCTGCTTCTGCCTCTGCAGAGTTGGGGGCTGGGGACTCCCCTTCCACAGAGCTCCCAGGAATGCACGTGGGTTCTGTGCCCTGAAGGGACTTAGGGTCGGTTGCAAAGGTAGGATGGGCGCCCACACACCCTCAACTGGGGGTCAGCCCAAGGCCCCCGACATGTGGTAAACATCCCAGCTCCTGCGCCTCTTGCCCTCTGGGAGCTTGGCCGTCCGCTCTCATCAAGAGCTGTCCCCGAGGAGGACGCCCTAAGTCCCCCCACCCTTCTGCGTGGAGTCTGTGTCCCCTGCAGGGAGCAGGGCCTGGAGGTCAGAGGTCAGGGAGGCTGGAGGCTGGAGACGGCTGTTCTGTCAGTTCCAACAGGAACTCCCGTCCTCCTTTCCTTCCCACATGGGCTCCTGCACGTTGGTGCAACTCCATGGGCCCCCGAGAGGGTCCCTAAGGCAGCTCCCTGCTCTGCTTAGCTTGGGGTGCCCAGTGGACGGCCATGGGGGTGGAGCACAGACCCTCTTCTCTGACCCCCTTTGCCAGCCATTGGTCCCTTCAGCCCTGCAGGCCCGACCCCATGTCCCCATCCCTCCTCCAACCCTGTGACAATCCATGTGCTGCCAGGTTCGGGGGGTGGCATGAGGAGAGCCCCGAGCTGCCACCTGGAGTGGCTGCTGTGGCCCCTGTGAATGCCAGGGCACAGTCCCTGGGCACAGTTTCTGGGAGGCAGGCCTAGGCAGGTGTCCGGAGCTGCCCACTGCCCGCCTGGCGGGGGAAGCTTGAAGAGACTCCTGCCTGGACGGCCGTTATGGCTCAGTGGTTTAGTGTCAACCTATGAACCAGGAGGTCATGGTTCGATTCCCTATCAGGGCACAGGCCCAGGTTGCAGGCTTGACCCCCAGTGTGGGGCGTGCAGGAGGCAGCCAATGGGTGATTCGCTCTCATCATTGATGCTTCTCTCCCTCCCTCTCCCTTCCTCTCTGAAATCAATAAAAGTAAAATTTAAAATATTGAAAACAAACAAAAAAAGAGACTCAGAAAGTGTGATGGCCACTGAGAGGGTCTGGGTGGCGCTTCCGGAGTGGCGGCAGGCGCTGTGGGGGCCCCTGCTCCCCTCCCCTCCCCTCACAGCTGCAGGCAGCCCCCACCCCCCGCGGCAGCCCAGGGCAGGGGTGAAGCACCCCTAAACAGAACAAGGTGCGGGCCTCAGACTCTGCTTTACGAAGTGTTTGGAACTCCG